CTTTATGGAAACTCTGGACTCCTCGATGAGGCGCACATGTTCTTAGCTCTTTTTCAATGAATAAATTAACAAAGGCTTTTTCAGTGAATAAATTAACAAAGGCTTTTTCAATGAATAAAGTAACAGAGAACTAAGGTTAGACTGAGATCACGATGCTTAGCGCCAAATAACTGCAGGCTAATTGTCGTTATCTCCTAGGCACAAGAGTATAACGACTGAAAAACTATCCTTACTGTAACCGTCGGGGTATAAAGTGAGCTTCTTTTTATGACTACATGTTCTAAAGTTTATCTAAATGTCCCATGTCCCAATGTCTACTTAAGCCCAATTCCTAATGTTGAACGAATCATTTGAAAAACTCACCCTAGCGACAAACGTATGAGCACGTTTACGAGCTGGTGGTGAAGCATTTGGCTGATCCTCGTCAATCTTCAACTCTCCCACACCTTTCCCTTCAGCTTCAAGACGTTTCTTTTCAGCTGCACATTTTGCTTTCCATATATCGTATGACATTACGGTCATTGCACCAAGTGACATACTACGTCCCTCAAGACCAGTACGTGATGAAGAACTCTGAAATCCATCGACAATTATTTTGCACAGAAAAAAATCTCCATCTACGGGAAAAGTGCATTCTGAGAAGCACAGAAATGCACGTAAACACACACATAGCGTGTGCCCACGTGTTTTGTTTATGCAAATATGTTCGGTGGACGACGTGAGAATTGGTGTTTTCGTGGATTTCTCCCCGCGTGCAAAAGATGTAAAGAAATTTTCCGAGATAAACAAGGTTTATTGAATTGTTCCTTCCCCTCCAGTTCTCTGTTTCCCTTATCTCTGATGTTGACAAAGTGCGAAGATAATATTTAAGAAAGAAAAACTGCACCCATCCTTCCTCTTCCCCCCGCACTTCTCCACCTCTCCTTCCGTTCCCTATCCACCTAGACAATGGGTGCGACACTACGATTTTCTAGCGTTTTGTGTTCCTGAACTTTTGCAAGAAGGGGTGAAAGATTTTTGATCACGTTCTCTAGTGAGAATACAGAAAGTGCACATGAAAGAGAATCGAGAGAAGCAAACACGTACAAAAACTCCGGAAAGCACGCGATCTCCTGAGCGGCGGCGGCGGTGCGCTGCCGCCATCGCCGCGACTCTCTCTCTTCTC